CATGTATCCCAGAGGAAAGGGACAGTGAGGGCAGATTGTGGTGACAGGGATGCATGGGCAGTGGAAGAGAGGCCAGCAAGAGGGGGTCTCCTTACAGCACCCACACTGCATGCATACACACACATGCATGCACATGTGCAACCCCCTCTCCCCTTGTGCACACTTGCACATGCCCAGCACAGATAGCAGCTACAAGGAGACTCTTTCCTACTGCAGGGGCTCCCTTGGTGCACTGCCTCTGGCTACCAGGGCAGGTCCCATGCTGATGGCTTTTAGATGAAGATGTACTTTATTTACTACCCAGTGAGGAACCCCCAATTATAAACAGCTGAGTCTGGCAAACTCACTGGACCACAACATCTATATAAAAGCTCCTCAACCTTCACAGTCTAGAGATTCATGTCACTTCACTCATTCACAATTCATTTGCAGATTGTGTGCTCTGTGCCAGGACAGAGCTGACAAATATGTTTGCCACCTTCAAAGTGCTCACAGGAAGTCATGGTGATCCAGGCCAGCCCTGGGAGGAATGGTGCTCAGCATTGAGTCAGGAGATCCTTCTTGGATGAAGTGACTGTGGGCTGAGACCTGAAGCCATAGAGGCAGAGCCAGGTCTATTCCCTCTAACCCCATGCAGACAGAGATTCTCCACTTGGCCAAACTACAGTCAGGCCCCTGATCATTTTTTTTAAATTTTAGTTTTTAAAGTTTGTTTTAATTAGTCATACATAAAAATATGGAATTCTTCATGAATTTGCATGTCATCCTTGCACAGGGGCCATGCTAATCTCTGTATTGTTCCAATTTTAGTATATATGCTGCCAAAGCAAGTACCCCTGATCCTTTTCTTAGGCTCACTGGCACACTTCTGTTTCTCTAGTTTTTGCAAAGAACCCGCTAAGTTAGTTTAACCAGAGGCCCTTGTCCCCATAACTGATCAGATTCTTTATCCTGTTCCTTCCCCCCATGATGTCTGACCACGTTGGCAAGAATTCTGGGAGGTTAATGTCACTGAATTTTCCTATCCTGTTGTCTTCTCTTAGTCATTTTCAATCTACTGATTCCACCTGCTCCTTGATTATAAATTCCACATGACCACACTGTATTTGGAGTTGATCCTAAAGTTTCTTCTCACTGCAAAATCCCATCACCATGGTCCTTTACCTATCATAATGGTCCTGAATAAAGTCTCCTTAGCATGATTTAATCAGTATTATTAAATAAGTTTTTTTTTTTCTAAATAGGAGCAAGGGGACAGTCCCCAGCAGGTAGCAGAGACTGGATTGAGGGGGTTCACTGCAAGGTAAGTGTTAGAGTCTGTAAACAAGTCAAAATAACACCTGGCATTTTGCCAGGGGAATGTTAGAGTTCGTAAACAAGTCTGGATGGTGCCTGGCAAAATGCCAGAGGGAGTGGTTTGAGAAGTAACAAAAGCAAGCCATTAAGTGTGGAGATTCCTGATTGGTTGACTGATGTATCTAGTTTATGCTAATTAGATAAGCTCTGTGGAATGTATAAATACTGCTCCTGTCCTGCAATAAAGGGCTCCCACTCCTGCTGTATCAACGTACACAAGTTATTCGTCACCCCCTGGTTATTTTGCTGCAGCCAGACAGACTGCGGCAGTAAGGATGATCTTGGAGGGCCAACCTTGATGATCTGGCAAGAGTTGTCCCTGTGCCTCTGGCTGCACTCCCATATACCTCAACTGAATTCTTCCAACCTCAGTGCTCCCTGCCCTCTATTTTGGCATGGCCCAAAGTAACTAGCCAGAGAACTTGGTACCTGGGGTGCTACTAAACAGTATTTGGGGTATAGGGTTCTGTTTCTTGAAACCAATAGTCAAAATCAAGAAAAGTGTCTCAGTTTCTGACTAATCTTAAAACTTTATCAATGCCTCTGTTTGTCTTCATCAGGATATTGGCTAAGTTGATGTACCACTTACCTATTGGTACAGCACAAGCTGTGCCAAATCTTACTGGCTCAAAACAGTAACAATGGGCTGACCAGGCAGGTCTTTTCTCTTCCTGCCTGAGCTTGGATGTGGCTATTTGAGGCTGAGGGTTCATCAAGGCCTCATTCCCTCATGTCCAGTCTTAGGTGGATGACCAAGGGCCAGGCTTCTATCTCCATGTTATCTTTTATTCTGGGTTTTGTCTCAGCCTGGTGACTTTGGGTTTCAAGAAATTGAGGGCAGAACTGCAAGGTGGAAGTCAATGTGCCATAGACCAGCAACAATTCAGGAGGTGGAGAAGTGGCCTCAGACTCATGATGGTAGAAACTTTGCACTAAATGATGTACTGAATTCTATCATATTATCACTTCTGGGTGGTGTGTGGACGTGACTGTGGCTTCCAGGACTCTGCCACCTGGAGAGGAGGAGATGATCAGGGGTAGTGGCCCTCCCTAGAACCATCTGCTCTTTAATCCAGTGCTACTTGGCCCCCAGCCTGTGGATATACCAAGTGGTTCTGAACTAAAATCAGCCTACTCTGGGAGGGCCTCAGAAGAGGAGGCCCGAAGGTTGGGTAGGTGTTGTCAAGAGGTTGTGTAATTCAGACATCTTCATTCGAAGGCCATGGTTATGCAGGGGACACAGAAACTTCTAGGTGCAAGGATCTATGGGATATGTACAGCTAGTTTATGCTCCTAGAGAGGGAGCCCCACACAGCTGCCTTGTGCTCTGGGATCTAAACAAAGATCAGGACAAATTCAAACTTACCTCTCTGGGATGTTTATGACCCTAGACAGGTTTTGCTTAGCCATGCAGTGCCTCTATTTCCTATCTGAAGATGGGGATAAGTCACTCTGTATTGTTTAGGATTAGGTTCCACTATAAGTATAAAGACTCCCAACAGTAGCAGCTTCTATCAGATGGAGCTTGTTCTCTTTGTGTTAGGGGTTGAGGTGATGTGTGACATACCCTTGTGTCAGGGCCCATGACGGCCCAGTTTGTAGCCCCTGCCCACACCTTCATGGCCCAAGGAGGCTGTGTACGAGCTATGTGATAGGGTTTAATAGAGGTGCACATATCTGTCTCTTAAAGAGAACACTGTCACCACGCGGGGTCACCCCTGCCACCAAAGGAGGCTGAAAGTGGAGGCTTTTTTCTAGGGTCCTGAAAGAGGAAGGGCATCAGTTGGGGATGAGCTGATTGCCATGTGCATGGAGCGCCAGCCCTGATGAGTGTCAAGGGCAGAGAACTCTATGGCCATCAGATCCTATCAATATGCAGTCCCACCCTCCTTGACATATGAGGACACTAAGCTCCAGACACTTTGGGAGCACTTATGTACCTACTGGGGCGGGGGTGTCTGCTCCTTTACTTTAGGTACAGACTCACTCACAGCTGTGCCCCCTCTGCTAACTTTCAGTCCATAAAATTCCAGAAGTTTAGCTGCATGGGAAGAGACACACATGGACCTACTCCCCCATCTGTCCAGCATACCTGGACCATCTACACTCCTGTGCACTGTGGTTAGAGCATGAGGAGGCAATTTCTCCTATTAACTGTGACTTGGGACCATTGACTGACCTTTTCCCATTCCTTCTTTGACTTCACTCTTCCCAGCCTCAGGCAACCACTGTTGACTTTCAACTTTTATGAAATTATCATTTAACTTTTTATTATTTTAATTTGTATTTTCCCTTCTGGCTACCTCTGCCTGAGGAGGAGTCTCAGCCTGAGGAGAGCGTCTGGACTGGAGAGTGGGTGGGCTGTGAGACAGCAGGCATCCATCAAGCCCTGACAGTGTGAGACTTTGAACAGCCTACGCCTGCTGGAGAAGCATGCAGGGTCACATATTCCTCATGCCAGGGCACACAGCTAAAGAGCCTGCCTTTAACCTTATCAGTGGTGTTAACTTGGATAAAGAAAGAATGTGTAGAGAAGGAGGATGTGTGGGTGCAGGGCAGGGCCTGAGATCCACCCTGAGGGCTAAAAGGAACTCAGGATAAGATCAGAAGATACAATATTAGCAGGGCTTTGACCACCACTGACCTGAGCCTCTGAGGGATCAGCCTATGCTCTGCACCCCAGCCAGCGTGGCTGGAGTTGTTCCTGGGGAAAGTCCCTCCCCACCCCCATGTCTTCCCCCAGCTTGCAGAGTCTCTGGAGTGATGGAACATCAGGCCATGTTGGCCAGAAGATTAAAAACAAAATCTGCCAAACCAGAAAATCTTCCATAAAAGTAAATGGAAAAAAACAGTTAAATTATTAAATAAGCATTAAGTAGACTGTAATGCTCATTATTGGCAATCCTCTAAGAGGTTGCAAAGATGGACATCTTGCCCTTGTACATAGCCAGGTACAATCCATTCTGTCCACATTCTCAGGAGAAATGGGGAACTTGTCCTCAGGTAAGAGGTCTCCACAACACCACTGATCACATGCAGTGTACACTGAGTCCTCCTGGGCCATCTGGTTTGTTAATTGCTTTCATCCAAAGGAAAAAATAAACTCATATCTTAAGACAGGAAGTGGGTTTACAATTTCAGGCAGGCACCAGGCTGAACTTAGACTCCCACCCTCTCATAGAAACACCCTCTCATAGAAACTGGGAGATAAGAATGTTGTCTACCATGGTGATGACATTTCAGATGGGGCTCCCAGGTCCTTAATGAATTGTTCCTGAGTTGTAAAATTGGCAAGAAGCCTTTGGGCAGATTTACATAAAAAGAAGTTGACAAAGAACCTACAATTATAAGTTTTCTAAAGGAAATGCTCTAAAAGAAAGATAATAATATTGTATCTTCTCTTATTTGTTTTTAATTAATGCATGATAATTATGCAGATTCATGAAGGACTATGTGAAGTTTCTATACATGTATACATTGAATAATGACCAAATCAGGTTAAGCATATCTATCTCTTCAAATGTTTATCATTCCTTTGTTGTGAAATCCCTTAAAATCCTTTCATCCAGCTTTTTGAAGACATGCAGTGCATTATCAATATTTTTAATTTTTTTTCCAAAGCAAAGTCATGACTCACATGCAAATAGTGAACACCACCAAAGATTTTATTTGTTAATTCACTAGGGAAACAATAAAATGTTACAACTCATTCAGGAAGAATGCAAAAAGCATCCATATGGATAGGCAGTCAGGAATGCTGAGGTGAATCTGCTTAACAGTTGCAAAATTGGCTTCTTTTAACAGAGTAAAAGGGAAAATAAATGTTTCCACTGAACATTTATTTGCATGTCTGTGGACAAGAGTCATTGCCTTGCTATTAGTTTTCTATAACCTATAGAGTTATGAAATTGCTTAAAGATAAAGGTGCAGAGGACTCCATCCAATTAATAATGAGACACCTGTGGTGTTTTCATCCATTTCAAAGTCTATCACAATTTCACCTGTAGAGGCTTGGATTTTAAATTTATCCCTTACTTCATGAAAAAAAAAAAAAAAAACAACTTAGGATAGCATAAGGACAATTCCTTGATTTGCTCACCCTGTCTTCTCAGCATGCTTGGAGGGATGAACAGGGGCCACTGTCTGAATGGAAACACAAGCAGATTCATGAATTTCAGTATCATTCGTAAGCAATAGAATCAGCTGTTCTTTTTTTTAAAACCAGGGATTGAACCCAGGGGCACTCAACCACTGAGTCACATCACCAGCACTTTTTATAGTTTATTTTTTAAAATTTAATTTAATTAATTAATTTTTTGGGTACTAGGATTGAACTTCGGGGTACTCGACTACTGAGCCACATTCCAGCCCTATTTTGAATTTTATTTAGAGACAGGATCTCACTGAGTTGCTTAGTGCCTTGCTTTTGCTGAGGCTGACTTTGAACTCACGATTCTCTTGTCTCAGCCTCCCGAGCTGCTGGGATTACAAGCGTATGCCACCATGCCCCACTATAGTTTATTTTGAGACAAGGTCTTACTAAGTTGCTAAGGGTCTTGCTAAGTTGCTAAGGCTGGCTTCAAATTCAGCATCCTCCTGCCTCAGCCTCCCAAACTGCTGGGATTACCAGCATGTGCCACCATGCCCTGCTAGAATCAGCTATTCTTGAAGGTGGGCTTGGAGGTGCATGCCCGTGATCCCAGAGACTCAGGAGGCTGAGCCAAGAGTATCTCAAGTTTGAGGTCAGCCTGGGCAACTTAAACATAGTTCAGTGGTAAAGCCCCTCTGTGTTCATCCCCCAGTATCACATGCACACACACAAAAATCCCACCCATGAGTACATCAAATCTCAAGACTTCACTTAGTAATAAAATTGCCAAATCCTGATTAACTTAACATTTCTTGAGGTGAAAATGCCTTTTCTCCTGGGACCTCAGGAAGAGAACCTGGGTGGTTCATCCTTCTCTTGATCACCTCCTCTCATCTGACTAGCTACAGACATTGCAGCAGGGCATGCAGGGAGCTGAGGGGCACAAAGAGCTGCTACTACTCAGCTCTGGTCTGACTAAACTGTCATTGCCTCTCTATCTCTCCCTCAGGTGCTTTGGGGGACCCCTGCTGCCCCTTAGGTACCAATGATAGGAGTCACCTACTTCTCCAGCCACTGGTTTCTGAAATAAGGTAGGAGATGGGGACACTCACAATTCTGTGAGATTAGTTTCCTCCCCATTCCCGTACTTTTTCACCGTACGCATAAGGGGCTCAGGAGACTCGAGGCCAATTTCTGGTATTATTTTGAATATCTCCAAGTGCTCTGGTCTGGGCTCTGGTGTCCATTTCCTGTCATGCCATAATTCTCACCTGTATTTCCCATGAGATTTGGGTTGTGCTTTTGGATGGTTTCACATGGGACCCACCTACACCACTGTGCCAAGAGGGGAATGTACAGTGGGTCTGGGGTGCTCTACAGTTGGGGCTGCTGTCACTAGTTGGGTAGAAAGTTTGCTGAGTGCCCAGAAACCCTTTGTTCTGCATAACCTGGAGGATATGGACAGTGCCTACTTTGAGATTCATTCATGGGCTTGTGGAAGGAGGTACAAATCCTCTTCTAGAAATTGGCCTTGAGCAAGGTGACCACTTTTCTGGGCCTCAGTGTACTCATCTATAAACTGCTCATGGTCATGGTTCATAATTCATTTTGCAGCATGGGATGAAGTGAGTTGTGTGTGTGATGGTCATTATCTTAGTGGGCCTGTATTAGTCCCTGAGACTCCTATCTGGTCCCCACCCCCTCTGTCACAGATAAGCCAACATTACAATTTTCATTCAGAAACAGAGTTTATTGTGATATCCCAGGCCTGCCCCTTACTCCTCTTTTTCGTCCCCATGAGTGATGATGTAGCATAGGGACTTGTAGTCGATGTTGCCTGCCAGGTCCATGGGTGTCAGGGCAAACATCTGTTCTACCTGTGAAGGCAACAACTGGCGGAGATGTGGCTTAGGGGACCCTTTACCCTCAACCTGGGGCTGTTTTGGGGCCTCAAACTTTTTAACTCCAAACCCCAAATGCCTGGTTATTTTCCTGTTGGTCATCATTGGGCAGACTAAGCAGTAGGCTCAAACGGAGGCAGAAGTCAAAAGGTGCACCCTGGTCACAGAGATGGTCCCAGCCTCCTATGAAGACACTTTTCCAATGGTCACTTGGTCTGCACAGTCTCCCTGCCTGGTATACTTCCACCCTCCAACCCCACATCTACCCCTACAGGTCTTGATAGAGATGGAACATCCTCTGGAAAGGCCCAGTTGCCCTCTCAGCCTATACTACACTGGTGATGGGGGCAGTGGGTCAGGAGGCATCCCCAATGCCCTGCTGGGGAGGGCCCTGAGAAGTTCCTAGGGATAGGTACTAACAGGGTTGGGCAGGCTCACCTCAGCTGGAGAGAACTTGTCTGCCTGGGTCAGGAGGAGCTGCTTGAACCTGGGAAGTGGGGAGGATCTGAGCTAAGAGAAAGGGTGGCACAGCCCAGGAAAGAGCTGGTCACCCCTCAAAGAACACTGAAGGCCAAGGTTCAGGTGGCCCCCCACGTAAGCGGCCCCACTGCCCCTTTCTGCTTCTGCATGTTGTCCCTCACTGTGGGTAGGGGAGTTGACACTTACTCATCCTTGTTCACTACCCCTTGGCCGCTGGGGTCAAACATACGGAAGGCACTCAGGATGGCTTCCTCGGGGTCTGTCCCTGGGAGACCAAGGCAGCCAGGTGAATACTCAGGTCCCCAGCTTTTCAAGCCCTATCCAAGAGGAGCCCAGAGTTGCATGGGGGGAGCTCTCCATGTTCCAGAAGAGGTGGGGGCATTCCCCCCTATGGAATGTTCCTTGGGGATCAGAGGGTCTGGGAATGACCACCCTCCTGAAGTGGGCAGGGCTGGCTAGGAGTTAGGATTTAGGAATGGATGTTTCCTGAACTCAAGTCAGCACTGGGCTGACCAGGGCCCAGGATGTGCAGAGGTAGGCCCCACATCCCCTGGGTGGGCCATGGCCAGGCAGAGTCCAGACAGGGTTCTGGCAGGGTCAGGTGGGTTTGGCAGGTTCAGACTCCATGTCTGGTCAAGGGAACCCAGAGCTGCCCCAGGCTCACCATTGAGTTTCTCCCCAAAGAGTGTGAGGAAGACCGTGAAGTTGATGGGGCCCTTCCCCTCCTGCAGCATAGCATCCAGTTCCTCCTCTGGGACGCTCACCTTGCCTATGAAGGTGGGGATGATACAAACACAGGGACTCTGGTATCCCAGAGAAGGGCCAGTCTGCCCTTCCCCTTTTTCCTGGCTTCTGGTGAAAAGGCAGGAAAAGGGAGGTGTAAGGAGATGGGAAGGAGAGAGAGAAGGGGGCAGGGAAACAGTTCTTTCCCTGAGCAGGGACCCTTGGGAAAGCAAGTGAGCAGATGGGGGAGTAGTGGGCGGAAGGCAGAGGCACTCACCGAGCTGGGAGTAGGTCTCTCTCAGGTCTGACTTGCAGATAATGCCATCTCTGTTCTGGTCAATGCAGCTGAATGCCTGTGAGGAGGTAGAGAGTCCTGGGTCGTGTATGGAGGACAATCAGGGGCCAGGGCCATAACACACAGAGAAGAGTGTGCATATGGGAAGGGGTAGGTTTTGGATGGGGTTAGGGTTTCCTGGGGGTGGGGCACTCACTTCCTTGAACTCCTGGATCTGGGCTTGTTCAAACATGGAAAAGACATTGGAAGATCCACGCTGAGTCTGCTTGGTGGCTGCAGCCTTTCCCCGGATCCCAGTCTTCCTGCTGGCCTACAATACTGTAGATGAGAGGGAGTCCTCTCCCCAGGTCCCCTAAATGTCCCTTTCTCGTCATGCACAATCTAAGAGCAGTCCTAGGAGACTCAGGGTGAGGATCCTCTCTCCAGCCCTGGGTACTACCTTTCAGGCTTCACACAGCCACAGAAGTCCCTGGCTCCGTCCCCTCCCAACCCTGGAGACTGCTGGTCTCTTTGTCCCCACCAGGCACTTACCATCTTCTCTGACGCGAATTGCTGCTCCCTCTTGCTGCCAGACCCCCTTTATGTCCCAGCCTTATCACCTGGCGGTCCAAATAAGGAGAGCAGCAGAGAACAGGCCCAAACTTGGCAGCCCTTGACTGGGCTAGAAGAGGATGAGGGCCCCAAGCAGATTCCAGTTACATTCCTGGTGACCTTCATGTCCACATGTAACATCTTGGGGTCCATCCATCTCATGTGACCACTCATTGTGTCTCCCCAGAGCAGAGTAGCTCAAAGCTTTCACCATTATAGGTACCAGCTAAGGGTTCCTGTTGCCCCTTATCTGAGAATCTCTTCTGCAGGTCCAGTTCAGGCTCTGGCTAGGCCAGGCCAGTCCAGGCCCTATAGGCTTAAGGAGACAGTGTTTCTTTTTCTTTTTTTGGTCCTAAGGACTGATCCTAGGGGTGCTTAATCACTGAGCCACATCCCCAGCTGTTTTTATTTTTTATTTTGAGTTAGGGTCTTGAAATTGCTTAGGGCCTCACTAAGTTGCTAAGGCTGGCTTTAAACTTGTGATCCTCCTGCCTTGAACCTCCCTCCCTCAAGCCCCCAGGATTACAAGCATGCACCACTTTGCTTGGAAGGAGACAGTGTTTCTGAGGATGATCTCTGGTCTAAAACCTGGGATTCCCAGAGGTTTTGGTGAAGACCTTCAGCTCTGGCCTCTTGCCCCCTGACTAAGTGACAGCAGGCATCTCTGAGTTGTCTATACCCTGTAGGACCATTTACTTGGCTTTGGGGCAATTCTGGGGGTGAAAAGTGTACCGGCTACTCTCTACCTCTGTGCCCCTGCTATTGTGGCCTGCTCTTCTAGAGTGTTCCCATATCCTTCATTTGGAATATTGCTGTCCTACAAGCCTCAACTCCACCTCCTTTAGCACCTCTATGATGACATTAACTGGGAACTGTGGGCATGTTTCCCATTCACTTGATGGCTAACTTGTTTTTGTAGCTTCCTCCTGAACACCCAGCCTGTTCAACACCTGAACCCCAGAGGGCTTGCACACAGCAGGTCTATGTGATTCTGTTTTGCATGAAGTTTTTGGAGCATGGACCCTCCCCTGGCACCCCATGAAAGAGGGTCACAGGGACTCTGAGGTGGTGTTGAACTGTGGACAGAGGGGCCGGGACGCCCTCTGCTGTTCAGAGCAGCAACTTCACCAGCTTCTTGAGGGACCAGGGGCATCTTAGAGGAGCTAGAGAAGCTGGACTGCTTGAGAGAGGCAGGAGTGGGTTCCCTGGCTGGACCTGCTGGCAACACTCACCCCAACCCAGCTATGCAAGGCCCATATATATCAGTGGTAGGCTGAAAGAGGGCAGGCACTCTCATCCATTAGACTCCAGGTCCCCTATTTAAATATTTTGTTAACACCTCTTTTATTGTCTGGAAGTAAAATTCATTTCATTTTTTTTTCAATTCAGATATGCAACTTAGCTTCACAAAAACATTTAAAAATCAATATAATACCTCAAACTGTAATATGAAGAAGTTGAAAGCCATTTATATTAAAATATGTCCTAATGTGTGTATGCTCAAACAATCCCATTATCTTGATGGTGAAGCAATCAGATGCTGTGTCAACTTACAGTACAGAACTTAAACTCAAATGAATGAAGAGGACCAGAGCAATTCCACATTAGAAGTACCAGAAAAATTAGAAGATCTCACAGTGGATCTGACTTTCCAAAATTACAACTTTGGGTCATGTTCTAAATGAGACAAAGCACAGTTGTTCCTAATTTGCTGGGTAGTTTCTTATGTTGAGAAACGAATATGCAACACAATGACACAAATCTGTCTATATATGTAATTGTTCATTCTACCTAAAGATGGCGTTAGGTCCTACACTTGATATTTCACCTACCAAAGTCTCTATAGAGAGACCTTAGAATTATGTGATATCTTCTATCTCTGGCCTCTACTCAGTGTCGCTACCTATTTGGCTCTGAGGGGACAGGACCTGAGAACAACTTGTAGCAGGGCCAGCCCATCCCTTCACTAGAACAATGACTTGCCTGGTACTCCTTCCATCCCACACTCATTGCATGGCAGGCAGTGTCCTATGTCTCTGATCCCCCACATCATCCCATTCCCACAGCTTATCCTGTCGTTCTTCACATTCCCCTAGGCATAACAGGCTGGAGGATAACGCATTCCAAGATATAGCCACATGACGATGTCTGTCTCTTCATATATTGTCCGTATGGTTCTTATGCACAGAGGTCAAATAAAGGCCATATTTAAACTTTTTAAAGTTTTTAATTAAAAACCCCACATAGTCCCAGGTTGGGCATGGAAAGGGTGGTGTGACACATGGGAGATATGATGAGGATGAGAGGGGGCTGAGATGGTCCCTTGGAGGTATGCTGAATGCTTCTGGGATTTCTTCCTGGACTAGTGCCTTTAGAGCCAAAGACACCTTCCTGCCTCTGGGAGCAGGTTGAAGGACTCCTGATGGTGTCTCTTCCATTTTGTGGGACCCTTGGGGCAGGATATTGGGGCTCTGTCTCATCACCTGTAAGGGCCTATCTCAGGGATGTGTGTGTGTGTGTGTGTGTGTGTGTGTGTGAAGAAAAAGGCCTCTTGGGGTCACCTGCAGACTGGGAAATCCTCTCCCCACAGCTGGGCCTTCTCCTATGGCTCTTTGTCCTCTTGGGTCAGACACAAGAAACAGTGAGGCCTGGGTGACCAGCAGCCCACTGTCCCCTGTGGGCCCAGGTCTGGTCTGGCCAAGCTGCTGGAGTTGCCTGCCCCCTGCCTCCCAAGCAGGGTGAGCTTCCACAGAAGCCAAGCCACAGCAGGTGCCCAAGGGCACTCCCATCTCAAAGCAGGAGCCCAGGCCAGGCTGGCAGCTCTGAGAAGCAGACAGTGTGGAAATGCAACAAAGTCCTGAGTGAGCAACTACATCTCCGTAGTTGATTTCAGCAGGAAGGGCCAGGGCCTTTGGAGTCTCTGTTTCTGCTCCTCTCAGCCCCTTACCCCAGGGCTCTGGGGTTGTCCCACCGACTTCTGGAGAAAAGGCCAAGAGGCCTGATGGGCTCCAGTGATCTCTCACCATCTTCCAGGATTAGCAGCAGGATAGGCAGCTTCCTGCCCTGGTGAGCTGGGAGCAACTACAGGGAGCGCAGTCCCCATGGAGTCCAGGTTCGGCCCTCACAGCCTGGCTCTCATTGGCCCAGCATGCAGGCCTTCTTACAGGCCACTGCGGAAACCAAGGCCGCACCCCTGCCGCTACCCTCTTCACTCTCGATGAAAGTGATCTCACAGCTGGGAGTCAGCCTGCGTACACTGGCGTGGAACCGCTCCTTGAAGCTGAACCGGAGGGAAACAGGGCTGCCTTAGAAGCTCTTCCGGCCCTCCAGGTCTCACCTCTGCTAACCCCCACCTCTCCTGGGCGCCCAGAACCCAGCCGACCCTCCATCCCATCCAGGCCTAGGGGGACAACCCAAAGAGGCTCATGAATTCCTGGGGGCCACGCCATCTGGATCTCACTTTAGTAGGGAGAGGGGTGCCAGGGTGGGGAGGGTCACCTAGGGTGCAGGGGGGGAATTACCTGGGGTGCAACTTGTACACAGAGCCATCCACACCCACGGTGATTCGCATCACGTCCTCGCTGCGGCTCTCGCGCATGCGGTTGATGACACCCGCCAGCCCTGCTGAGCACATGTGCGCTGCTCGCGTCGACACGCTCTCGCAGGCGCGGCGCACAATGTCGCAGTCAGTGGCGGAGGGCCTCAGCCCCAGTGTGCTCAGGATGTTATGGATCTGCTTGCGGTCACCTGAGTCGCTGCGGGGTGGGAGGTGGAAGGGTGGTTGTCCAGGTCTGGCTAGCAGAGCCATGGGCCCTCTCTGGAGAAGGGATGATCCTACCCACCTCACCCAGTCAAAGTGTTCGGGACTTGTGCTCTGGAAGGCAGCAGGCCAATTTTGCCAGAGACCAGTACTTCATTTTTACTGCTCCCTCTAAGCCCTGGGTCTGTGCTCTAATGTGGTGCAAAAACATTGCTGCACCTGGGAGCTGTAGTGTGAATGACGTGTGAAGGTGTCTGTGGGAGTGAGGAACCATCTTGTGGGGGAAATGTGCACAGGGTAGCTACCTGGCCACTGCTCGGCTTGGGGCCAGAGAACACTCAGGATTCTGCTCCCAGTTCCTCCTCATCCTGGTGAATTAGGCCAGAGATTCTGCCTCCCCTAGGACCCTGCCCACAAGGGCTTCTGTGTCCCTGCCCTTGCCCTCTTGATCTTTGCCGCTGGCCTGGGTCCCCATCTCTTCCACGCACCTCTCCACCTGAGATACGAATCGGGTCTCGAAAGCGCCGCGAGTGCGTAGCTGCTCTGAGGCTTCCCCGTGGAATAGCAGATTCTCATCCACCAGTTTGAGAAGCACAAGGCGCACCAACTCACCCATGTACTTCCCACCAATGAGCTTCTCATACCTGGACATGGGAGGAGGGTTACACCAGTTGACCTGCTGGGGACATCTCCATCACTTCCCCCTTAGGGTTCTGAGGTAGCCACAGGGGTATCTTGGTTTCACCCCCTCCCAGTTGCCCCACATCCTGGGTTTCATGCTTCTCACTCGTTTATAAACAGGGGTTTTAGAAACTTTGGATACTAGGAATGTGCACGTTTTCAACACATCTGGCCCAGCTGTTGGCCCTGTGAGGGAAAGGGATGAAGTTGAAGCCTCTATTCAGTCCTTCTGAAACTTTCTTGGTGGCTTCCACATTTTTATCTTGAAATTTATTTAATACTACTTACCTAATAGAGGCCTGTGATGAAGATGAAGCTCATAAAGGAATTAGCATGGGTCTGGCACCTAGCAGGTGGCTAACAAGTGATAGCTATGATCTGTGTGGTGTTCCCAAGATGTATTCTGCCAATTTATAGCATTTCACAAAACACTAATATTCATTTTGTGAATGGAGACAAATATGTGCTTTAAGGAACTCTGGGTTAAACCTGGTAAACTGCTGAGGGTCAGAGCCTTCTCTGTGACCAAGGTCACCTGTCAGAATGGGGAAGTTTGGCCTTATCTAAGCAGTGCCTCTCCCTGTTCTGGGTTCACAGGGGCAAGGCAT